AGCAAGGAAGTCAGGACCGTGAGGGGTGCACCCACCCACTGAGACGGTGGGGCTGATCTAAAGGGAGCTCACCAAGGCCAGCTGGACTGGGACTGAAAAAGCATGGGATAAAACCTGACTCTCTGAATATGGCGGACAATGAGGGCTGATGAGAAGCCAAGGACAATGGCACTGGGTTTTGATCCTACTTCATGTTCTGGCTTTGTGGGAGCCTAGCCTGTTTGGATGCTCACCTTCCTAGACCTGGATGGAGGGGAGAGGACCTTGGACTTTCCACAGGGCAGGGAACCCTGATTGCACTTCAGCCTGGAGAAGGAGGGGGAAAGGAGTGGGGGGAGGGGGAAGGAAATGGGAGGCGGGGAGGAGGTGGAAATTTTTTCAATAAAAAAATAGAAGGGCTGGAGAGATAGCTCAGTGGTTAAAAGTACTGACTGCTCTTCCAGAGATCTGGGTTCAATTCCCAGCACCCACATGGCAGCTCACAGCTGTCTGGGGATCCAGTTGCAGGGGATCTGATACCTTCACACCAATGCACATAGAATAAAGTTAAAATAAACCATAAAAAATAAAAAAAATAAAAAAATAGAAACTTGAAAAAAAATGTAGTTTGTACTAGTCACTTACCACTACACTAGAAAGCTCTGTACAAAAAGAAAAAATTACACTCAAAAGGAATAGATGGCAAGAAATAATCAAATGAGGGCTGGAATTAATAAAACAGAACAAAAAATACACAGAATCAATTAAATAGTTCTTAGAGTAAGATTGGCAAACCTCTATTCAAAGTAACTAAAATGTGGACAGAATATCTCAATTAACCAAATTAGAAATAAAAAGGGGGTTATAACAACAGGCATCGAAGTAATCCAAAGAATCATAAGGATATACTTTAAAAAATCCTACCTTCCACAATATTGGAAAATATAAAAGAAATGGATAATTTTCTTAATAGATACCACTTACAAAAGTTAAACCAAAGTCAAATAAATAATCTAAACAGACCTATAACCCCTAGTAAAATAGAAGCAGTAATTAAGTCTCCCAACTTCCTGTATCTCTCCCAAAAGCCAAGGGCCCAGATAGTTTTAGTGCAGAATTCTACAAGACTTTCAAAAAAGAGTTAACACCAATACTCCTCAAATTGGTCCATGAAATAGAAACAGAAGAAACTATTCTTTTTAGGCTAGTTACCCTGATACCCGCCAAAAACATAAAAACCCAACAAAGAAAATTACAGACCAATTTCCCTTATAAACATAAATGCAAAAATTCTCAGTAAAATACTTGCAAACCAAATCCAAGAACACATCAAAAAGATCATTCACCATGATCAAGTATGCTTCATCCCAGAGATGCAGGGATGGTTCAACACATGCAAATCGATAAATGTAATCCACCAAATAAACAAACTGAAAGACAAAAACCACATGATCATCTTATTAGATGCTGAAAAAGCCTTTGGCAAATTCCAACACCCTTCATGATAAAAATACTGTAGAGATTATGGATAGAAGAAACATACCTAAATATAATAAAGGCAATTTACAGCAAGTCCATAGCCAACATCAACTTAAACAGAGAGAAATATAAAGCGATTCCACTAAAATCAGGAACAAGACAAGGCTGTCCACCCTCTTCATACTTATTCAATCAATATGGTACTAAGTCTTAGCTAGAATAAGATAACTAAAAGAGATCAAGGGGATATAAATCAGAAAGAAAAAAGTCAAAACATCTTTATTTGCAAATGATATAACAGCATACATAAGTGATCATAAAATTCCACTGGTAAACTCCTATAGTTGATACACCTTCACCAAAGTAGCTGGATACAAGATTAACTCAAAAAAATCAGTAGCCCTCCAATATATAAATAACAAATGGTCTGAGAAAGAACTCAGGGAAACAATACCTTTCATAATAACCTCAAATATAAAATATCTTGGAGTAACTCTAGCCAAACAAATCAAAGACTTGTATGGTAAAAATGTTAAGGCACTGAAGAAAGAGACTGAAGAAGGCAAGATCTCCATACTCATGGATCAGCAGGAGTAACACAGGAAAAAAATGGCCAGCTACCAAAAGCAATGTACAGATTCAATGAAATTCCCCTCAAAATTCGAACATGATTCTTCACAGATCTTAAGAGGATAATTCTTAGCTTCATATGGAAACACTAAAAGTTCAGGATAGCTAAAACAATCCTGTACAATAAAAGAACTTCTGGCAGTATCATTATCCTAATTTCAAGTTGTACTACAGAGGTACAGTCATAAAAATAGCACGGTATTGGCACTAAAACAGACATGTTGATCAATGGAATTAAAGACCCAATATAAATCCACACAACTATGGACATCTGATTTTTTATAAAGAAGCCAGAAATACACACTGGAAAAAAAGAAAGCAACTTCAACAAACAGTGCTGGTCAAACAGGATGCCTGTATATAAAAGAATCCAAATTTATCTATACTCATTACCCTGCACAAAACTCAACTCCAGGTGGATCAAAAACCTCAAAATAAATACACACTGAACCTTATAGAAGAGAAAATGGAGAACAGAAAACTTCCTGAAGAGAATACTGTTAAGCACGGGCACTAAGATCAACAAATAGTTAAGTGGGACCTCATAAACCTGAGAAGCTACAATCCATAGACCCACAGAGGTTAGGTATATCATAAGTGACTGGAGGGTGGGGGCACAGACTAATAAGGAATGAAAAATAAATTATGGATGCATAGGAGGACTGGAATAGGAGGATCAAGTAGGGATGGGCAGGAAAGTGGGAAATGAGGGAGGAAATATGGGGAAAGAGAGCTAAAATCAAGGGCCATTTGAGGAGTTGTAGGGAAGCCTAATACGGTAGAAGCTTCCTAAAATATATATGTATAATGAAGAGGATCTAAATAAAATCATCAAATAATGGGTGAGACAAGAGTCCCAACTGGGTATCTCTTGTCACTAAATGGAAGTTTCCAGTACTGGAGCTGGGTTAAATCTAATTGAGTTGTCGGCCTAAGGGGTCCCATGGGAACCCCCAAACAACCCAGATTGTTGCCAAGACAACAGGTTGCTCTTCACAAACTGACAGCAAGGAACCCACTGCTGAAGGCAACATCTACACAACTAGAGTTGATGAACTGGTGCCTACATAGAGCCTTCATTCCTACATTCCAATGTCTTTGGTACAGGAACATACTCTCCATGCTCTCAAAAGAGAAACATAAACACCAATCCAGCCACAAAGCCTCTATTTACAATGGGGTACTGCCTGCAAGATATGCTAGGGTAGTGGTGGCACAGAGCTCGTGGGAGTAACCAAACAATTCCTGATTTGATTCAAGATGGAACCCATGTCTGATACTGCTTGGGTGACAAAGAACCTGAAAGTAGATGGTAAAAGCAAACACTACTGTTCTAAAGCAAACAAAACAAACATACAAGAAAGTACAGGAATAAAATGACTCTTAATGATATTCTGCTATACTCATAGATCAGTGCCTTGTTCAGCCATCACTAGAGAAGCTTCCTCCTGCAACAGGTGGAAACAAATACAGAGACTCACAGCTAGACATCATGCAGAGAATGAGAGACCTTGGGAACACTCAACCCTAAACAGGATGTCTCCATCAAATCGCTCCCCTCAGGACTCAGGGAACCCTAGGGAAGAGGAGGCAGAAAGAATGTAAGAGCCAGTGGGGACGGGATTGAGGACACCAAGGGAACAAGGCCCTCTCAATCAATAAAATGATGCACAGGACCTGCACATGTCTACACCAGATGGAGTCCTAGAGCTTTAAGGAGAAGTGGACACATGTTCCCACCCCAATCCAGAAGCATTCTCCATTTGATAACCACTTGCAAATAAAAATCTAGTTTTCTCCAAAGGAGTCTCACTGGGGAGAATAACTACTCTTAAGGCTAGGCTGCAATCCCTGAAAATGAACTCAACACATATTTGGAGGTTCCGTATTTCATAATGTTGTGTCAGGGCTCTAGCTTTTAAAAAATTTATCTTATTTTTTTTCATTTTTATATGTATGTATATATTTTTCCTTCTCTCTTTTTTAATTCTACAGGTCCTTTGCATATATATTATAGCTTCCAGTTTAGTGTTTTTGTGGGATGCTGAAGTATGTGAATGAGTGGGTCTCTACATCTATATCTGTTTCTTGTACCTTTTGGGGAATCTTTCTTCTGTTTGTTTATGTTGTCCTATTATGATGTGTTAGGGTTTTTTAAAATCTTATTTTATTATTATCCTTTAGAAGCTTATTTGTTTTCTAATGAAAGACAGAAAGGGGTGGGTCTGGATGGAAGGGGAGGTGGGAAAGATCTGGGAGGAGTAGAGGGAGGGGAAAACATAATAAAGCTAAATATTATGTAAAAAAATATCCATTTTCAATAAAAGGAGCCTCCCACACAAACAAACTAGAGCGTCTGGTGAGATGGCTCAGTATTAAAGGTGCTTGATGACCTAAGTTTGATGCCCAGGACCCATATGGTAGGGAAAAGAGAAACCCATTTCTCCAGGTTGTCCCCATTACTCATGGGTCTCTCTCTCTCTCTCTCTCTCTCTCTCTCTCTCTCTCTCTCACACACACACACACACACACACACACACACTTATGCACTAAAATACATGTGACAAAAGTATTTTAAAAGTAGGCTCTTTATCATATAAGGCCTATAATGCATTCAGGTAATCTTAATCCTTAGTTACTTTAATTATTCCCTCTTTTCTTACACATGCTATTTTAAGTTCTCCCCTTCATTACTGTATCTAACCACTGTAGTAATATTTTGTTTGTGTTTTAACAAATAAAGCTAGCCTGAAGATCAGAGTGCAGAGCTAAGCCACTAGTTAGCTGTTGAGGCCAGGCAGTGGTGGCACACACCTTTAATCCCAGGACATAGGAGACAGAGACAGAGGCAGACTGATCTGTTAGTTCAAGGCCACCCCAGGCTACAGGAAATTGATTCAGTCTAAAAGAGAAACAGAGCTCACACAAAGGTTATCCTAGCACTTGGGATTCCATGCCTTTAATCCCAGCACTAGCAATGTAGAGATAAGGGTGATATGGCTGGGCAGAGAGAGGACTATAAGGCTGGAGGAGACAGGAGCTCATTGCAGTCTGAGGATGTATTGATAAGAGGTAGGAACTCTAGTGGGTGGCTGCTCTGTTTCTCTGATCTTTCAGCTTCTACACCCTGATAGCTAACTCTAAGGTTTTATTATTAAGAACAATTAGAATTTGTGCTACAAACCACATTGTCAAACATCTTAAGTGCTCACTGACCGTTACTGTACTTTCCTTTTTTAAAAAAAAAACTGTGTGTTTGTGTACATGCATGGTCATACCGTGTGGGTATATATGCATGTGGGAGGCCCAAGGCATCAGATGCTGGGAGTCTTCTTCAATCCTTCTCCACTCTATTCACTGAGGCAAAAAACTAAACTTAGATTGGCCAAAAAGGCTACAATCTAGGCAGTCACTTTCTTCCAGGGATCTCCCCCTCTCTGCTTTCTAAGATTTGGGATTACAAAAAGGCAGCCATTTTACATGGCTTCTGGGTATCCAAATCCCAGTACTCATACTTGTGGCTCACATGACAAGTACAGTAACTGCTAAGGCATTTCCCTAGCCCTATTTTGCTTTTCATCTAAGCTCTGTACAGAATAAATTCATCAAGCACTAAAAATAAAAGTCACAGGTTTTTCCCACTCATAAAACCAACAACTATCATAAGAATCTTCACTGAAATAAATGCTTACTTGAAATAGCTGGTTTGGAACTTGATATCTCTCCAACAAAGATCAACTCATCATCATCATCATCTTTATTTTGAATTTCGTCTACTTTCTGCTGCCATGGTTCCAACTCTTCTTCTTCACACTCCATAACAAGTTCTGCCATTTTTGAATTATCTAATTTCCTAAAGGAGAGAAACCCATATTTTCAAAAGGAAAAAAACTTTGTAACAGGAAGTATGATAATTAAAGATAAGTTTTATTAATCTTAAAGGAAATTACTGAATAACTACACATAGCAAGAATAAACTGAGAAAGCAATTTATATATCTAAACTAAGCACTCAGTGTAGTGGTATACCCCTACAATCCTACCTACCATTCATTCAGGAGGTTGAAGTAACAGAATAGTTATTCTGAGGCCTGTCTGCTCTACACAATGAAGCCCTGTCTCAAAACAAAGCTAGTAAAAAATGGCTAAGTAGCTAGAAGATTGGGGAAAGCAGCTGAGTTACAGTGGCCAAAATTTTCGTTTTGTAATTTTTGCTTTAAATATATAGAGGTTTTGTTTGCATGTATGTCTGTGTACCACATGCATGTGATACCCCCAGAAGCAAGAAAAGGGCATGAGATCATCTGGAACTGGAGTTCTTTGGCAGCCATGTGGGTTCTGGTAATCAAACTGGGGTCCTCTGGAATAATAACCAGTGCTCTGCTAAGCTATCTCTCTAGCCCTAGGTGGCCAAAAAAGTAAATCCAATCAAGCTAAGTTTATATTACATAACTAGGATATTATACATACCAAAAAGAATATTATATAATTATTACCTGAGACAAAAGCCTACCACTTGTGTTTATAAACCAAGCATAGGAGGCAATTAGATTGGAAGGAGGAAAAAAACTGCATCAGATTCAGAAATATTAGGGTAAAGAAGAAAAACGAGATACTAGGATGAAAACGGAAAAAAGAGAAGCTTATTTTATTCCAGGATAGAGTAAACATTTCCTATCTCAAGAAATTAAACAAAGGACGTACTACAAATATTACACAGCTCATAGCAAACATTTTAGTGCCTTATTCCTTTGGGAATGTTGTTGTTTTGTTTCTGTGATAGGGATTTTCCATGTAATTTGGGCTGACCTGTCCTGGAACTCATTATGTAGCCTCAGGCTGTCCCCAAACTCATAAATGTCCTGCCTCAGCCTGAGTCTTAGGATTTCAAGTGTGTGCTGTCATGCCAATTCAGTGCCTCATTCTTAACATACGGATATAAGCTAGGCATGGTGGTGTATACCTTTAGTCCCAGCAATCAGGAGGCAGAGGCAGGCGGATCTCTGTGAGTTCAAGGCAAACCTAGTCTACACAGTGAATTTCAGGGTAGCCAAGGACCTGTCTCAAAACAAAAACAACCATAAAACAAAGAAATAGCTGGAGAGATGACTCAGCAGTTAAGAACACTTGCTGAGGATCAGGGTTCATATCCCACCAGTGACACTGGGGCTCACAACTACTTCTAGTTCCAGTTTAAGAGGATCTGACCCCCTCTTTTGATCTCTGAGAGCACAAGGCAAGTATATGGTGCCCATACATAAATGTAAGCAAAACTCATAAAATAAATACATCTTTAAAATAATCTAAAAAGAAAAAATAACAAAAATGGATATGAATAACTAATGAACACCAAAATTTTGAGGAAAGTCTCTAATGTGAAAGACCAAAGCAATTAAACAGATTAAAAGATATAAACAAAAACAGATAATACAGAGGACAGGAGAAAATGATCTTTTTTTTAAAGATTCATTCATTCATTCATTCAGTATCCTGCCTGTAGGCCAGAAGAGGGCACCAGATCTCATTATAGGTGGTTGTTGGGAATTGAACTCAAGACCTCTGGGAGAGCAGTCAGTGCTCTTAACCCCTGAGCCATCTCTCCAGCGCAAGAAAATCATCTTTTAGAGACATCTGACAAAATTTAACAAACAGGAGCTAGAAAGGTAGCTCAGTGAGTAAAGGTGCCTACTGCCCCAGCCCAATGACCTGAGTTAGTCTTGAACTCAGATCTACCTTCCTCTGCCTCTTGAGCAGTGGCATTAAAGGCACGCGCACCCAGCCTCTAGATTCTTTTAAACTGGGGGTTATTTACAAGCTCATGAGTAACTTAAGGAGGGTGACTTCACTACTGAAGAAAAAGTCTCTTCACCTAGCAAGTGCTTTCTTGAGGCCCATCCCCCCATGCAAAAGCTTTCAGTCTGTTTGGAGATAGGCATGAAGCATTCTCCCAGAAACAATTGCCTGGAAGTCTTGAAGAGGGTTGGGGCCCCTGAACCTGTCCCGTACTAATTATTTACAAATTTTGGCTAGCTCTTTGGAGCTCATTCCCCTAGTAATTATTGTCTAGAAAACCTTGGGAGGGGCAAGACCTCATCAGGCCAAATTTGACTGTGAAACTTTTAACAGTCCATAATTCCTTGAGGAGGGGCAGGGCCTCATGAGTCCTCCTCTTAACAACTGTTAGCCCCACCTCCCATCAACATTTCTGGTTTTATATTTAATTGTGAGGGCCACATCCAGTCAATTCTCTCCTTCCACCATGTAGGTTGCAGGGATTGAACTCAGGTCATCAAGCTTGGTCCTACTGAGCCATCTCACAGTCTCATATCACATCAATATTTAATTGCCTATAAATCCTTGTGGAAGGATGTGGCCTCATAAGCCCCCTCCTTTACTAACTGTTAACTGTCTATAATTCTCAGGGAAGGATGTGGGATCATAAGCCCTTTCCCATTCCATGAAGAAAAATTAATGGACCCAATCTTGTGTAGGTCTCCTTCAGGAAATCAGAGCTGCTGATAGTTGAAGAAGGTAATGGCTACATCATTCCCAGAGAACACAGTGTTCCATAACAATTGGCTAATTGTAAGTGAAGGTATAGGATAGCCTGGAATACATGAGATCTTGTATAAAAAAAAAAAATTAAAGAGTATGCAAGATGGCTTAGTGGCTGCCAGGTGGTAGCGACGGCACATGCCTTTAATCCCAGCACACAGGAGGCAGAGGCAGGTGGATATCTGTGAGTTCGAGGTCAGCCTGGTCTACAGAGCTAGCTCCAGGATTGCTAGGGCTGTTACACTGAGAAATCCTGTCTCATACCCCGCCCCCCAAAGGCTTAGTGGATGAAGATGCCCCTACCACTAAGTCTGACCACCTGAATTTGAGTACCAATACACATAGCAGGAGAGAAATGACTCTCACAGACTGTTCTCTCACTTCCTCATGTCACATGTCTGAGCGGGCATGTGTACAAGCACACACCCACATTAATTTTTTTTTTTTTTTTAAGGATGGGGCAATAGCTCAAGCAGTAAAGTTCTTGCTCTTCAAGCATGGGACCTGAGTCTCATATTGCTAGAATTCATATATAAGAATGCTGGGCATAAAAGTATACACTTGCAATTCCAGAAGTGAGGAGGCAGAGAAGGACAATTGCTTGCAGGACTGTCACAGTCAGTAACCTCCAGGCCAATGAGGAAACCATGTCTCAAGGAAGGGGATGGCATTCTTGAGGATGGCACGTGAGGTTGTCCTGTGGCACACACACACACAAACCTGCATACACAAATACACAATGAATAATAAAAAAAAATTAATGTAAACTAGGCATGGCTTCTCACAGCTGTAACCCCATCCCCAAATCGGGACTATCAAATGTACACATCATCTAATACTTTCCCAAATTGGCTTATTCCTGAATGAATGTAAATTTAGCAAATAAACTGATGAATATTTTAAGCAATTACTACCTGAAAAAATAGGATGAATTTTAGAATTAGAAATAAAAATTAAAAGGTATGCTACATAAAAACATAATTATCTAGTCATGTTTCAATAAATTTTAATTTCAATGTAAGTGATATTTTTTTTTGGTTTTTCGAGTATAAGTGATAACTTTAACTAGGACTTATTCTTTATACTTTAGAAATGAATGCTATTATTACTATAATAAGGTACATACAAATACTTTGCTTATGTATTTTCTTATCATTTCTAACTGAAAAGTAAAAGAAAATTACCTAAAGTACTTCACAGATTAATTCATTACCAAATTTCCATTACCCTCTATACTCTAGAGGAAAATAAAGAATAAAATGTAGTCCCATTCTTCAGAAGTTTACAATCTAATTTGTTTACAGTATTTAGACTTTTATCTTTGTGGTTTGGTTAAGATTTTACATGTGCTAAGCGAGTGCTTTTCTATAAGCAACATCTTGCAGCCTTATTTGGATCTTTAAAAAAAACCAGGTGTTGGCCGTGAAGTGGTGGCACATACTTTTAATCCCAACACTCAGGAGGCAGAGGCAGGTGGATCTCTGTGAGTTTGAGTCCAGCCTAGTCTACAAGAACTAGTTCCAGGACAGGCTCCAAAGCTACAGAGAAACCCAGTCTCAAACAAACAAACCCTCAGGTGTTACATTAAAATAAAAAAATTTGAACTGCTTCATTAAAAAGAATTTTAAGTTATATCCTGAATTCTCATAGACATACCATATACTCTACAAATTCTCTTTAAAAATAAAAAAAATTTAAAAACATCTTAGTTATAGCTAGATGTGGTCACATTCAAATGTAATCCCAGAATTTGAGAGGGAAAAGAGGGAGAATCATGAGTTTGCGGCTGGGATAGGATACATAGGAAGTCAATACTATCCTGAGCTACATAGTGAAAGCCTGGCTTGAAAAATAAAAAGCTAGGCATGCAGTTCAGTGGCAGAGCATTTGCTTAGCATGCACTAGAGCCTGAGCTTGATTCTTAGAACCGAGAGGAGAAAACAGATTGTCTCAGCTGCTAAAATGCATCAGTTGAATTGCCACAGAGCCTGATTACCTAAGTTCAATCGCTGGAATCCACATAATGGAAAGAGAAAACTATACAAGTTGTCCTTCGAGAATGCATGCTCACACTGAGCACATGTGCATACACCTACCTCCTACACACACACTAAAATAAATAAAAATAAGTTAAAAGCATTTAAAATAAATGCAGTAAAAATAATTAAATTCATTTGTTTATATTTTCATTCTCTCTCTTCTTTCCCTTCATACTGCCCCTCTTTCTCTTTCTGAGACAGGACCTTTTTATGTAACCCTGGTTGGATTGAACTTGTAATATACACCAGACCAGCCTTGAACTTCCAGTGATCCTCCTGCTTTTGCATCCCAACTGCCAGGATCACAGGTATGTATTACCATGCCTGGATGCTTTTCATTTTTCTAAGTACAAAAAAAAAATACCATGCCTAAATTTTTATCAAATAGCTGTTCCCACAACTCTTTTATCTTTATGAAAGTATATGTGAATTAACTTAAAGAATATATAAAAAAATTAAAGTGGATCATTGGACCCAAACGGTACTTAGTGTTGACAATTTTCCCATTAAAGATAATACAAAGACCTTTTAATAAAAAACTAATTTGTAGAGGATGAATTTTAAAAAAGTCTAGATGTATATTTTTACTCAACTCACTGAGTAAATCAAGTCTTCCTATACTATTACTTACAACAATCTAACTAAAAATCAATTATTTTTCAAATTGTGTGAGTTTGCATATACCACAGCATGTATGGAGGTCAGAAGATAACCTGAAGGAGCTGGTTCTCTCCTACGTTGTGGGGCCTGGGATTGAACTCAAGCTGTCAGAATTGGCAGCTGGTAAACCATCTTGCTGGCTTGAGAAATATGATTTCATGTCCTCTCTGAAGCATAAAGAATATTTAGCTATAATTATTACATACAAATTGATCCCTAGTACTCCCCCCAAATTCTGTGTGGTTCTAAATATTCTCCTAGAAAAATAAGCGTAAGAAAAGGAAGGCATAGAATGCTATACCCCTTTCCCTTTTCTTAATAAAAAAGCAATGCTAAGTGGTAAAATGCTGGGCTAAAAAGGCCAGTCTAATTGGAAAATTTAACACTCGGAGGGAAGGAGTTGAACAGAAAAGAAAAAGTTGAGGTATGGAACTCTTCATCATCAGAACTTTTTCAATACTATTCTTCAATTTTTCAGCATACTTGGATGTAATATTATTCAAACGCTAAAATACAAAAATATAAAGTCTCGGGGTTAAGAGCACTGACTGTTACTGTTCTTCCAGAAGACCTGGGTTCAATTCCTAGCACCCACATGGCAGTTCAAAACTGTTTGTAACTCCAGTTCCAGGGGACCTGATACCCATGGCAAAATACCAATGCATCTAAAAAATAAAACATTAAATAATGTATAGAGGGGCTGGGAATGATTGCTCACACCTTTAATCCCAGGACATAGGAGGCAGAGGCAAATGGAGGTCTGTGACTTTGAGCCAGCCTGATCTACAGAGTAAGTTCCAGGACAGCCAGGGCTGTTACACAGAGAAACCCTGTCTTGAAAAAACAAAACAAAAAAACAAAAAAGAAAGAAAGAAAAAATGTAGAGAGGAAAAATTGAATAATACTTCTTAAAAATTTTAGGTGACCCAGGCTGGCAAGATGGCTCAGAGGTTAAGAGCACTAGCTGCTCTTCCAGAGATCCTGATCAATTCCCAGCAACCTCATGGTGGCTCAGAAACATCTATAACATGATCTGGTGTCTTCTTTTTGCCTACAAGCAGAACACTGTATACATAAAACCCTCTTTCCCTATCTTTCTCAGGCACTTTGAGATGCCCATAAAAAGTGAGGCATTATTCAATGAATTGAACCTTAGGTGAAAATCAGAAGACACTTATTCAAGAACTGACTCTAAGGGTACAGGCACGTTGGCTCTTACCTGTAATCACTGTATTGGGGAGGTTGAGCCAACAGAATCAAGAGTTTATGGATAGCCTCGGTTACATATAAAGTTCAAGGGCAGCCTGGGCTACGTGGAACCCTCTCAAAAACCAACCAACCAACCAACCAAACAAACAAAAAATAAATAAATAAAATGGGGTTTCCGTGAGATGGGCTCAGCAGGTAAGGGAGCTTACAACCAAAACAAAATCAGAGAGTCATTGTGGGTACTTACTCAGTAGGAGAGAACTTCGTATTACCAAGCAGTCATCTGATCTCCAAACTGCAGTGTGCGCACACCTACATACATACATACACCAAAAAAGAGAAATATAAACAAATAATGCAATTTAAAAGAAAAAACACAACTGGTTCTATTAAGGACTGAGGCTATTTCTTCATCTTTGCAACAGTTCTTTAACACATCACTGCCCTGTAAAGGAGCGACAGCAATAAAACATTCAAATGCAATGACAATTGCTTTTGCAGACATTAAAGCAAATGACACAGATCTAACTGATTTTCATAAATAAACCAGCACCTTCATAGACTTTTTTTTTTTTAAACATAAGATGGCTTGAATTTAATATTGTAACTCTCAAAGCAAGACACCTCACAAACCCTTCGGAGAACTGTGTAGTTTAAAAATAAAAATGTTTTTAGGTATCTAATACAGGTGCCACTAACAGGCACTAAAACTCATAATCCTACCCCAACCAACAATAGCAAAAAACTCCAGCTCACAGATTTAAAATAAAAATGAGCAAATCCTCCAAACAAAAGAGAGGTCCTTGGATAAAATCTCCCGCATTTGGAAGAAACTGGTTCCCTTGTCACTGAGACTTCTTCCTGAGAACAATTCAAACTTGAGGTGCATTGAGGGGACTCCCATGTCGGCGGCAGGTTTTCCTCCTCCGAATTGAGATGCTCG